GACTACTCTAAGATTATATAAGTATAGCCACTTCATAATGTTACAAATTAAGTCATGCGCAATAACCAGGCGCATAAGTTTTGCGCAGGTGTTTTTAGAATGTTATAGCGGGATTCTATTGATTGTTTGTTATATATTTTTAAGCGGGTGCACCTAGCACAAAAAACTTGTACACAGTTTAGTGACTATTACCAATGGCGTAGCTAGGGGAGGGCAGGTGGGGCGACCGCCCCTGGCGCCGAGCCTAGGGGGGGCATCAAAAGGGGTAAAAAAATTAATTTAAAGGCTATTTTAAGCTGAAGCATTGAAATATACACAGTGAAACGTACGAAAATAAACGACTACAAGGCTTAACAATGATTCAACTGTTTTTTATATCTATTGTGTGCGCCGAAATAGAAATGTTAAGGGGTAGTAACTGGTAAGAAGCGCCAGAAATCTTTCCAACTGATGGGAGGGGGGGGGTACTTTTTTCATAGACAGGAGTACTATATATAGAACTGGGAGGGAGGGGGCGCAAAAATGATAGTCCGACCCGGGCGCCGGAATAGATTGCTACTCCTCTGATTATTACTAAAAGGAACTATACATTGGATTAATTAGATTTCTCTTATTATCTAAGTTGGGTTATCTTAAATAAAGATCACATAACATAACACGACGTTTATAGAAGTATGTTATAACTATATTAAAAATACTATTACTGATATTCAACTGATTGAAATATCCGATTCCACATTCATGTTGATTGTGAGGAATCGACCGCAAATAAAGAAAAAATATACAAACACATTCTTAAGAAGAATGCATTTTCTATCTTTCACCTTCAACATTTGTATTGCTCCGTAATTGAAAATTTGAGTAGCTATTCTGCAGTTTGTAAAACTGGTTACACTGCCTGAAAAAAGGGGAACATTTTAAAGTTACCTTTCCCTAGATAAAAAAAATGTTATTTATTTAATATTACGTTATGTGTTGTTTTTTATTTATTACGTCCTTTGTATTCTGTATTACATGGTTACGTCCCTTTGAGTGTTTACGGTGTAGCTGATTTGTACCTGTGAGATTGTTTAATGCAGACAGACCCAGAGACAAGACGTATCGTATAGGCTGTCTAGTGTAATAAAGTATCAAGGTTAACTGAAAATATTGTGTCTGTTGTAGTAAATGTAACATTTAACACGGTTTAGATGTGGACATGTTACAGAACAGACAACTCTTCGTGTTATAGAATCAGTGTTTCTTCCAGACTTTTTTCTCCGGGGGGGGGGGCACTTGAAATTTTCGGGGGGGGGGGGGGGGGCGGTAGACTTTATTCGGGGGGGGGGGACACTGTTAAATGTTTATATTTTCTATATAAATTATATAAATTTCATTACAGAAACTCTGTATAGAAAATATACTCACTCTCGCGGACAAGCAAATGTAACCGTTTTACAGTGTGTAATATTTTATTTTCGTGTACATTTTAAAATATTGACCAGTTAGTGTTACGGGTCTGTTGTAGGTTATATAGAAATAGGTTAGAATATTCTAGAACTTAGGGGATAGTGCGTGTGTGAGTTGAGTTTACACGTGTAGTTAACCCCGGTGTGTTTATGTATTGTTATCCCAGGGTCGAATGCGGGTATAAAAGCTGGATGTCCGATTGTAACGGGGGTTAGTTGGTAGCGGCTAGGCAGGAGGGCTTGTTGTATAAAGATAATAAATACATAAAAACGTTTATAATTACAAGCTTTTATAAATGCACTAAAAAGAAGAAAATAATACAATTTTTATTAAATATAAAAATAAAAAATATTAAATATAAACTATTGTGTACGCCCATAATTGAATAATTCAGCTCGCAATGAGCTTTTTGATGAGTTTTTGCCCATTTTGGCAATCCCATAGGATCGGCGCCCTAGATGACAAACCACCCACCCTCCGCTGCTACGCCTTTGATAGAGGACTGGTAGAGCGGCCTCTTCATCAGCTAAAAATTGAGAGGCGCTATACGGGATTTAAAAAAAAAGATAAAAATAACATTCTGTATGGAAAAACTTATTTTTTTTTTATATTTTACCTATTTGTTCAGCAAGCCCAAACACTTATTGATTGCTAACTAGGTATTATAATTTGATTAAGCATTTGTGTTTTTACCTTAAAAATTCATTACAAAAATAAATTAATCACTTCGTACTAAATTTACACGTTACATAATAGATCTTAAAATAGAGTGGGCCCTCTACGACATATAAAAATCAATTTTGACTAAAACAAAAAACAACCTAAGCGTTAATTTAACTATCGAGGCGTGCTAAAATGTAAAATGTTACGGGCTGTTGAACAAGACGCAACTGACTGACTTATTTGACTTATTCCTTTGAAGCTCCCGAGGAGCAAATTACTGCAGTTAAGTATCTCAACACTACTCTGTTATGGGCGGCTATCTCTATTTGAGCCCACTTAAGCCCAGCAAGGCCTTGCTTCTCCCTTCACTGTCCTTGTTGTACATGATAGCTTCGGCCTTCGTTTCTTTTCTCCTAGACGCTCTAGTTGAGTTGTAGGCCTAAATGTTTAATGTTTAGCTTACACACACACATACACACACACATACACACGCACGCACGCACACACGCATGCACGCTCACACACACACACAAATTGTAAAACATTCAGGTTCTAAAGTGTTAAATAAAGTTTAATACCATTTTTTTTAGTTTTTCGTACACGGAACAGTACATAGATGGGCTACATATACAATGCAAAAGAGTTGATTTAATAGCACTTAAAATAAATTATTCTGCAGGAAGGTTTAACTCTGATCAAATTTTGCAACGGTACTTTATTGTGTAGGCTACAGGCTACGCGGGCATGGTCCGCTAACCTTCTTTAGGGTCGGATTGCTTTGATGTAGACTTGTGTTGGCTTATATGCATCTGTCCTGCTGGCGGTATCAAAAAAAGTTCGCTGGGGTGAGAGGGGTAAGAGGGGTGGGGGTTCTTGGAAGACTGCGCATGGTTTTTTTTTAAAAAAAAGACTAACATTTTAATGGCAATGATATCTTTTTTCGGGCGCAAGACACAGACATTATAAATGTTTACTTCCTTAGAAAATTTTTTTTTACTGAGACTTAGCATATAGGTTACCGCATTAGCGAATAATTAAACTGTCGATTTTAAATTATTCGGTCATTGGCCAAATGGTCCAGCAAAATAATTAGGCCAACGCGCGAACTGCTCTGCCAATCCGCGCTTTTCGCAGCACGTCAGGCTTTGGCAGTTAATATTCGACCAGTGATTATTCCTTAACTTAATTAATCAGCATTAGACATCTTGGCAATCATTCAATTTGGTGAATTAAAACTGTTACTAAGCGCACAAAGTCCTACATATAATTTCGTGCTATCTAATGCAATATGTATCTGCTATTACGACACCGATTTCAATAGGTGTAGATATATAAACAATTTCTATCTTCTAAAATTACACCACTGGTATTAATTACATGTTATCTTAAGGAGTGTCTTTATATTTCTTTACTTAAAACAGCAACGTGCAACTGGTACGCGAGCAACATACAATCAATTTTCAAAAAATAAAATATCGACTCTCTTACAACTGTATTATTAATCCACCCATAGTTAAAATCTAAAAAATGTAAGTGATTGCAATCTTTAAGTCATCTCTTCCGGTGCTGGAGGGCATTATTTCGTCCATCACCCGCCCGTACGAATTATTCAACAATATACAACAATATATAATTTAGGCGTATGTTTAAATTGTATATTATATTAACCGGTGTCCGCCCCCATCTCCTTCCCTAAAAATTTAAGTCTGCCTCCTCCCCCAAATATAGATTTAAAATGCTTTCAGATGAACTTGTCTTAAAGACACACAGTTTAGATTTTATATTGTAAACTTTCAACATAGTCATTGTAACACTAATCGTCATCGGCTATATATAGCACTGGTCGTAGCCAGGTATATCTTCCTTACAAAGTCCACACCAATTAGTGAAATAATGTCAATACAATGAAAACATTAAGAGTTAACAGTACTTTTTATTAAAATATCACAGAGAAAAGCAATACACGTAATCTCTATATACTTATAACCTAAGTATGTTTCAAATAGAGGGGCGCTAAATTGTAATTTATCATAATTATAAAAACTTTGGCGAAATTAAAATAGTCGTTTTACAATTGTGGTGTAAAAATATTTGGTTAGTTTAATTTTACGTATTTGTACAATGCTTTTCGGTTTTACTAATTCTAATTAAAAGGTCACATTTTACAAATGTATACATATGGCAAAAGTGAAACATAATTTTATAATTTATTTCTGTAAACACATTACTAGATTGTGCTTACTATCTTAGAAGGCTACATTGCATATACTTATATTTTATTGTGCAGTAGGGGCTAAGTATAAAATGTAAAAAAAAAAAAAAAAAATTATACGCTCTAAATAATAGTGTAGTACAAACAAAAATCTGCTCTCTTCGTAAATATTTTTAATTCAGGCATTTTTTTGTATTAAAAAATTTTGTAGAGTGAATAAATAAGAAGTAAACTAAATTTTGAAACATGTTTTTATTCTTCAAAATTGTGATTTCTAAACTTGAATTTTAAAAAAATATACACAATTCAACACCAATCAAACGACAACACTGTTAAAGTAAGCCAATACCTTTGCATATATGTGTTAAATTTCAATATAGTGCATACAATTAGTAAAAACCACATCTATTTATTGAAAAATAAACAGGTAAACATATATTTAATAAATACTTTGAGCAGGTCAGATACAATAATGTATCGTCATAGGTACTTTCATCTTCACCACAAACCTAAGTTGCCTTATAACAACATAAAAGTGTAATTTCGCAAATTTCACATAAGATTAATTGTACAGTTAATACTTGCCTATATATATATATATATATATATATATATATATATATATATATATATATATGTATATATATATGTATATATATGTATATATATGTATATATACATATATATATGACAAGTATGGAATGTAATATGAACAAAGCCGTGCTACTCTATAAAGCAGGGTATAATAATCAGCAGTTTAAAAAGACTTCACAGGGCGTAGTTAGACATCATGCTGAGCAAACGAGCTAAAACGTACATTTAAGTAGCTGGATTTACTCTATTTTTTCTGCATGATAGCACACATTATGTATAAATTCACAGTTCCAGAAAATCATACCAAATGTATACATAGTTTTAATTTGTAAAAAAAGTGTTGCAATTGTAATTATTTCTCATATAAATGTAATACAGGCTTACATTTGAATTCGCAACACATAATCTGATGTTTAGAATTAAATTTATAATAAAAAGACTGAAATAATATGATTAATAAACCGGGAGTGATCTCCCCTAAAATTTCTCGAATATTCTTTTATAAAATAACAGGGGATGGGAACTCGGGCTATAGACATGATTTTTAATCCATTTTAAATACTTAAAGTTTTAAAAATAGAATAAAATCTCGTAGACAAATTAATTGCACACCAAGTGAACGCCAAATAAAAAAGCGCATAACAGTGCGCAATATTTTAGTACTTTTGAAATTTACATTAGTTTTGTGAGAAATCGGAAGTAGCGTAAAGTACTACTTTCAGTCAACGGAAATTACTCAAAATTTAACAGAAGGTAGAGAATTAGATCTTTTACTTACATGTGAAATTTCATTTATCTATCTGAAATAGTACTCAAGTTATAGGCTTTTGAAAAATTCAAAGTAGAAAAAGTACCACTTCCGGTTATCGGAAATCGCTCAAAAGTTGATACGGATCTACGATTTTGATATAATACTTATATATGAAATTTCATCCACCTAGCTATAACGGTACTCAAGTTATCGTGTTTACACACGGACAGACACACAGACACACAGATACACAGACACACACACACACACAGATATACGGACAAGATTGCAAAATTATGTTTTTCCGTATCAGTGAGGTGTAAAACGTCGAGATTTGTAAAAATCTCGATTTTTTTTTGCACGATTACAATACTTTCTCTATACTTCGTATATACGAGAAAGTAAAAAAGAAAACAGAAAACATTATTACCTTTAAGTTAAAGATTTCTTTCTAAAAAGCACTTAAAATAAACATTTAGAAAGTATTATTTTCTGTTAATGTTTTCTTTTTATTTAATTTATTTCTACCTTAAGAAATTGCATTACTAATATACTTTATTGATGAGTGATTAGATTCCTAAAAATTCTAATTCAGAATAAGTTTTTGAAATTTCAAATAATTTTTGTATTAACTCTAGTTTGTCTGCACGATAGCACACATTATGTAGTGATTCACAGTTTCAGAAAATCATACCAAATATATACATAGTTCTAAATTGTAAAAAAGTGTTGCAATTGTAATAATTTCTTATATAAATGTAATACGGGATTACATTTGAATTTGCAACAAATAATCTGTTGTTTAGAATTAAATTTATAATAAAAAGACTCAAATCATTTGATTAAAAAAGGAAAACAGAAAACATTATTACCTTTATGTTAAAGTTTTTTTTCAAAAAGCACAAAAATAAACTTTTAGAGAGTATTATTTTCTGTTAATGGTTTCTTTTTATTTAATTTATTCCTACCTTTACAAAATAGCATTACTCATATTAGTTATTGATGAGTGATTACATTCCTAAAACTTCTAATTCAGAATACATTTTTGAAATTTCAAATAATTTTTTTATTAACTTCACTCTGTCAGCTGTTGTGATTACTTATCTGTTCTAAATAAAAAGTGAGCCCAGGGCAGCCATGATGACCATCAAGGCGCAATTGATGAAAGGTGCAGTTGCTGATGCTGAAACAAAAGTATTTGAAAAGATCAATCTAACACAGACCATATATATATATATATATATATATATATACGCAGAGAGAAGATAACAAGAGTCATAATAACATGATCACTTAAAATCACATTACTTACCTACGACTGATACAATTAGAGCATCACTTGTGCTTGAAAATGTACTGAATGTGGTGGTGCAGGTGTAGCTGCCATTATGTGTGGTTGCATTAGCTCCAGTTATTGTGTACTTAGCTGTTGTGATTTGAACATCACCGTTGTCTCTACATAGAAGTAATGATTTCAAGAAATATTAGGTATATTTTACAGTTTATAAATAAATATATACAAATAACCATGCTGTTTAGTCTTTCAATTGTATAAATAACATAAATATATAATTATGTTCAGAGGTGAAAACGGCTTGCAAGTGTGTACATCTTTTGTTGTTGAGAAAGTGGGTTAGGACAAACTAGGCAACGTAGGCTACGCTCAAATAATTTTATAAATGTCTAAATAACGTCAAGGTAATTATGTCAAATTATGTTTTACTTTTGCCATATGTATAAAGTGTTTCTAACCGGAATGTTTCGAGTTCGAATTTTCAGGCAGATGGTGCTCTTTAGCTGAGGACAGCAACTTATTTAGGAGAAAAAAATCCAAAAACTAATCAAGAGTTGAGTCTCTTAGATTATAAACTCTGGTTTTCTTTAGACTGCTCCTACGTCAAAACTGACTACTAACTGTACAGGTAACGTCTGGTCCCTTGGGTCAATCAGCATTGTTCATTTGAAACTTTTGCCTGTTTTCAACTTTGGGCCAAGGCTTTGTTCTTGAATTTCCATTACGCAATCATGCAAAGGTCTATTAGACTATGGAGCCATATATTCACAGTGAACGCAATTGATGCCAATTGTTAGCAGCTGTAAAAGTAACTGATGTACCTCTTTCCCACAGACCGTTATCTTAACGACAGACAGTATCAAGTTTTTCGCTAAGAACATATTGTCCATTAAAAAATAAAAATTGCCAAAACCTAATCAAACTAACTAAAACAAATTCATATATATATATATATATATATATATATATATATATATATATATATATAATGTATATATATATATATATATATATATATATATATATATATATATATATATATATATATATATATATATATATAAACAGGCATGCATAGTAATAACATCCTCATATTAGCGTGCAGTATAAAACCAATTTCAAAAATTACCATCAAGTATTACCTCTTACTCTCTAAATACAATAAGTACAATATGTACAACCTCCTTATTTTTTACGTCATTAGATACTAAAGTATTATTTCTCCCACCGGCCCTATCTCACTAGTTTGATGACTGAAATCTTACTTTTTCCATGCGTATGTCCAACCAGTTGTGTTATCAGAGCCAGAATTACAAGTGAGAACATAGTTGGTGCCAGCATAAAATGCAGTTCCAGCAGGGTCACGGCTGATAGTGGGTTTGATTACTGTATAATACAAAAGGAAAAAGCTTCAAATAAGGTTTTTCATATAAACATATTAAAATATATTGTTAAATATATATATATATATATATATATATATATATATATATATATATATATATATATATATATATATATATATATGTATGTATGTATGTATGTATGTATGTATATATATATTTACAATTAATTATCATTAAAAACTTTTGCTCTTTTATTTCAAAATTAAGTTCCTATTATTGTTTTCGATTAAATTGTATGATCTTGATTAGCTGAAAAATTCATCACACGAACGAAATATGTACAACATTGAAACACTTACGAGCACAGACATCGCCCCTGGGAACAAAATAATTGGCACAGGTGCAGACTTGTGGTGTAGCTGTTGGACATGTTCCTGCGTATCCTTTGGTTGTATCGCAATCCCCGGGTATTGAACAGCGTTTTCCAGCCGCTTAAAAAAATTAAATAATTGCATATATATAAAAATATGAATGTTGATATCAAACTTGTCATGGAACCAGTCCAAAATATAGTCTAACCAGCCTGTTATAAAAATACCAGTGCTACTTCCCATGGTGAGATTCTGACTGAAGTATCAAGCTACAAATATTGCATTAAAGGATCACACTAATTTCTCAACATGTCTAACTGATGTTTCAATAGATTTTACGAAAATGTATCAATGGTGTCAACTAAATAATCTGGGTACCATGCACATAAATGCACAAACCACGCACACACTACACACTCAGCATGGGAGCTTGACATCATTTGTTTAAATAAATCTACTATTATCTACATTGCCCATTCAAGACGAATACCGATGGAAGCTTAAGATATATGCTATTGTAAAACGAAATATATCTAAATAAAAACAGGCATATGGTTATAACTTTTAAATAACCTCAGCTGTTTTTACAGTTGAAAAATTAAGACAAAATTCAAATCAAATAAATTACAATTTACATACATATTTGCAGATAATGAAAAATGTTTTTAAAAACTGTTAGTGATTATCAACAACATATTACTGTATTGTCTATTTGAAAGTTTGATGAAAGCTTTCGGAAACCTTTTTTTTCCCATTACTTGTACTGTTATCATGCAATAGCTATGTAACTCTCTCTTACTCTCTTTCTCTTTATGTATATATATATATATATATATATATATATATATATATATATATATATATATATATATATATATATATATATATATATATATATATATATATATATATATATATATATATATATATATATATATATATATATATATATATATATATATATATATATATATATATATATATATATATATATATATATATATATATATATATATATAAATACTATATATAGTTAACACAACTAACCTTCTACTGCTACAGTTAGTGGTTCGCTCGTGCTGGACGCTCCGTTGTATGTTGAAGTGCAGGTGTAGGAGCCGTTATGTATGGCTGCAGTTGCATTTATAATTGAGTAGGCGTCTGTTGTTATTTTAAGGTCATTATCACCTCTGAAATAAGAAAAAAAATCATGATGATGGTTGAAATTTGATATGCTTTGTTCTACACAGTAACTCCGTTCAATTGAGAATGGGTAATTAGACAATGGTTTTGTACTTTATAAATAACAAAAACATTACTAACAGTATCGTCTAAATTCAACGGTTGCGTTAAGTCTTGATATCACAATTGATCACAATTGTGTCATATTGTTATACTAAAATTTGAATTTAAAGGTTATAGATAACAACTATATAATTATATTTTTTCTGAAACATTTATACAAATTACTTCCCTTGATCGAAATTAATAACTTATAATTGATAAATGAAGGGGGGTCAAAGATAGTGACGTCACAACTTTTGATTGTGCGTTTTTAAAACGAATTACAATCATTGCAGTTGGATTTTATTCTATTATAAACGTCGCAACTCAAACTTGTTTCTATGCTCTTGACAACATAAGCGGAAAAAGTCTTTTACATTTGTGTGCCCTGGACAAATGGGGCGCAAATTAATTATGATTATATTTTATTGTTCTGAGTTTCGCGTTACATCAAATGAATGCTTTTTGGTTAGATTAACAATTTTGAACCTAGAACTGGGTAAGTGTTACTGTTACATAACATAATGGTAGCGAGTTTTTCAATAGTTTAGCAAGTATGGCAATGCAGTTTTAATTATATTCATTAATATGATTTTTACATAATTAAGTTTCTCAAATGTTAAATTGATGGGGTAAACTTGCACAATGCAAAATAGTCTTTTGCTTAAATTATAAAAATATCAATTTCTACTCCTACCTTGTTTGCTGCCTTAGCCGAAACCTTCCATTTAATTTTTCTTTATTTATCTCTAGCTTTTTATAATGTTTAAAGATTTAAATCGATAAAAAAAAGACACACGTATTTAACAAAACATCGACTTCTCATGCAGACAATATTAATGACATTGAGTTTACTAAGACATTGATGGCTAGAAACAAAAACCATTTATATTTTTTAACGATAATTTATTCTCAAGCCATAAGCTATAACCTTGTAACATAAAAAAAATAGTTTATAAATAGTTTATAAGCATCTTAATTTCATTAAATTACTACAATTTCATTTAGGTGTTGATCTGATAATTACAGTGTATTGACACCCGGCTTAAGTATGTTTACACTACCAATTTCATACCCTAATTTTAATTTTTTGTTTTTAATTTTCGCTTTTAGATCGGTTAATGTGTTTATTAAGATCAACTTGAAATATGGTTAGGATATAGCTCTAGTGATGTAGGCACCTGAAAAATAACAGATTCTAAGAAATGTAAAAATAATGAGTTGAAAATTGACAGTTCTGTTTAACAATTTAAAGGGACGTAACTGCATATTTTGGTTAAATTTTGAGTTCCCCGGTGTTTTGACTATAAAAAAAATAAACATGACAACACATGTTTCTTGACCTTCATCCTAACTGTTAAAAAGTGTTTATATTACGAAAATATTTGAAATAATTTTTTATAACGAAAACATGTATATTTAAATAAATAATTTATCCTTAAATTATTCAGGAGACTTACAATAATCATACACACACATATTTATGTATGTCAGGTATGAGCGATTCATACATATTTTTACGGCTTTCTTATTTTATCTACTATTAAAATACAAGAATTAATTATAAAAAAATATAATCGACATTTTTAGAAAACAAAATGCGGCGTGTAACGAGAAATGTGCAAGTAATATACACAACACTTATTCTGGTGAAATTATAAAATTCAGTATTGCCGTAATTAAAATGTGGTCGAACTTCCACTAATATTGTTCTTCTTTAACTGTACATGAAACTACAATCAACCTTAATAAGCACGCAAGTCACGACCCTTTACAGATTATTTTTTCTCAAACGCCTGTGTTAAGCTAGGGCTTGACGGCTAGTGAAATGAAAGTGGCACTCTTTGAATGAATATGTTTTTCCCATATTAGCTTATTTATTACAAACAAAGCTAGTGTTTTTTTATGTATCAAATAATGGTTTTATGCAGTAGCGTTGCTAGGTCGGGTGTTACCCGGTGCGGCACCTAATGGTGTCACCCACCCACCCCCAACAAAAAAGTATCAGTTTATATATATATATATATATATATATATATATATATATATATATATATATATATATATATATATATATACATTTAAGTAAGATTGTTTTCTCTATGATTGGAAGCTTTACGTCCAGATGTCACCCCCATATTGTAAGCTTTGATTTGCACTTAATAAGACTTTTTAAACTCTAACTAATTATTAATTAAACTGGCAAAATGCATTTTTCTATTATACAATGTTTTTTTCTTGGTGTCACCTCTTTGAAATGGTGTCACCCGCTGCTGTCCGCACGCCCCGCCCCCGCCTCGCGACGCCTCTGGTTTTATGTTAGATATATTTATGTCACTGTATGGGAGGTATTTAAGGCAATTATTCATCATTAAATGGCGTAGGGGGTGGCACAGAAATATTGTTGCAGAAGAGTTGATGCAATAGATATTGCGTGCAATCTTACTTTTTCCACGAGTATGTCCACCCTGATATGCTTTGCACAGTATTACATTTAAGAACGTAGTCACCGCCTGCACCATAGATCTTTCCAGAAGCAACACCCGTGAGAGTGGGTTTCATAACTGGTGGAGATAAAATAACATTCAGATAATAGTATAATATTAAATATACCTAACTTAATTAATAACTAGGTTTAAAAAAAAAAAAACTTCGAGCAGCAAAAAAATAAAAATAAAGCGTGAGTGATCTCCTCTAAAATCTAATAGAATTGCGTATAACATTGCTCACCGAATGAACATAAACAAAGTGTGTTGTTACATTGGAAAATACGATCTTAATAAAGGACACTGATTAATTTCTAAATAGTTAATTTTAAACATCTAATTCAGCCACATTGTATGTCACAATGCATTGTCATCGAGTCTAGATCTACGTAAAATATTTTGAAGAAATTGGTCCGGTAGAAAATATTTTTTTCAAAAATCGGAACAATCGTTGAATAATATTTCTGATCACTGAAAATCGATCACCAGAGAATAAGATCTTATACCAATAATTAAAACTTCGTCTACCTAGCTAAAACGGTAATTGATACTAAATGGAATCGGTATTATTGAAACCCGATTTAGAGTAAAATACAACTTCCGGTTATCGGAGTTCACTTCAAAATTGAAAGTAATTCAAGTGAAAGATCTTATACTTATAAAAGAAATTTTATTTACCTAATTGAAATAGTACTCAAGTTAAAGTTTTCACACAAAAATATATTTTTAAAAAAACATGTCTGGTTTCTGAAACTCGTACCAAATTTGAAAAAAAAAAAAAAAATGCCCATACAATTTACACTTATATGTAAAATTGCATCCATATAACGTTAACGGTACTCAATTTATTGGCTTTTCAGAAAAGATATAATAAATTGCCGAAAATCACTCAGAATGTAATACAGAACTACACATTTGGTATTAAAGTTACACATGAAATGTCCTCAATAAAACTGAAACGGTACTCAAGTTGTCGTGTTACAGGCAGGCAGACAGACCAGTGGCGGAACTAGAGAAAAACGGCCACCCCGCAAAAATATGTCTAGGCCCCGCAATATATATATATATATATATATATATATATATATATATATATATATATATATATATATATATATATATATATATATATATATATATAAACACAAAATACGAAAATAGGATACTCATTGCTGGCCTGTTCAGGTTTTGAAAAAACAATAGGTTTTTTTTTCAATTAATACAAATTACAACATCATTTCATGTGTGTAAGTGCAATAGTGTGTTTTGTGAAAATCAGTTTTATTTTATCTCTGCTATAAGATGTTAAACTCTAGACGGTCAAAAGAATTTATAAATCATGAAAGCTTTGTATAAGTAATTATGTCTCGTGTTATGTTTATTTTTATGTTTTTTTTTTGTATTTATATTACTAATTTGAAATACATTTGCTTTTTGTACAATGTCATTCTTTAGTAAATATTTTATCAAAAAATTAATAATTAAGAGACGTAATTGCTTTTTAATTTATTTAGTACGAATCCATTAAAAGAAGCTTATGACTATGAGCACCTCTATTTGACTATTTAAAAAGGTAAATAAGTCATCGAAGTGGTTTGAACGTTTGCTTATCTTTGATAAGTTTGATTGTAGGAGAAAGACTCGGCTTTCACAGTGGTTTAAAAACAAAGGGAAAAAGAATATACAAGAGCGTGGGGTGGTGTCTATAGAATAAAGATAATCCAACCGCAGCTACGGTGATCTTTTTACAAAACAACCATCAAGTAAAAAATGCAAGAAAATTATTTTTTTTTTAACTATAAAAAAATTATTATGGTCGGCTGTGGGCCCCTAACTGGCGTGCCCCCCCCCCCCGCATTGCGTGGTCTTGTTGCACTGTAGTTCAGCCCCTGAGACACACACTGACACACATACAGACACAAAGAAATTAAGACAAAACTGCAAAACTATGTTTTTTTCCGACTCAGACAGGTGTAAAACGTCGAATTTATTTCAAAATATCTTTTTTTCGATTTTTGCAAGATTAAAATAATTTTTCTTTACATTTTAGGCCTATACGAGAAAGTAAAAGTAAATTTGTAAAAATGGATATATAAATACTTTGAAACCAGCTTGATAATATATTAGCCCTAGAAATTTGTCCCACAGCGATACAATGTAAGCATGTTAACTTAGAACGTTTTTTTTTTGATACATTTTTTTTAAAAATCTGGCACCGGGATTAAAGCCATTTGGGAACTATCAATTGTGCTAATTTTCATTTTTTGTATAGATGATAAGCAGTTGAAAATAATTTTAGATTAAGTTTATCAATTCAAATATTAAAAAAAAAACTCCTATGCCTATCATTTAGTCAACTGGAGTAGCTAGGGAAAATAAAACAATGAAAGTCATAAAAATTGATAAAATAAAAATAGCACACATGGTGACTTTTTCAGCTTGATTAAAGATTTTAAACATAAATTTTCATCTGTGTATGTTAATGGCCTCACTATTTTAAGACTATTATGATCAGATGTAATTATTAGTCTTCTTTTTTTACTCAAATTTTTTTATAAAATGTTCAATTTTAGTTGAAAAATAAGTTTCTTGCAACTCCAAATTTGAGCCACATTTCAATTTTATTACATTCATGAAAGAATAAATAATGTAATACAAAAACTTACTTGCATGAAAAGATGCATACGCCGTTGTGTACCGACTCTTTACTGCCCTACACTTGTACACTCCAATGTCAGTCGCGGCGAATTGATAGAGTTGGATTGTCTTATCTTTTTGACCCTCTATTGGGTTGTCTTTGAAAGACCATTGGTAAGAATCTGCAGTGTATGAAGACTCTCCGCATGATAAAACTAGTGTAGATGCTAGAGTTATATCACCATTGGGAGCTTTGATGACAGTAGGGTCTGAGATAAAGCTGTTTTCTAGAAAAAGGAATAAGATCAAGACAATGGTTAAATAACTTCCTAATAATACTGGTTTTTAATTCTCATAAAGATTACCCTGAATTATGAAAATAAAATTTTCTTAGGCTTTTTGAAATATGATCTAGAAAAATGTTGACGACAGATAGTTTTAACAATAGATCAACATGAGAAGATTGCTTGTTAAAAAATGACAAAGATCAGTATAAGAAATTAACTTCAAACTTAAACTTTGGCTCGCTCACTCAAAGCCAAAAAAAAAAATCGAGACGATATTGGCCGCTTAATTATGATTAAGATATGTATTCCTCCCCTTTCTTTTTAACCTTGTGCTACTCTTTTTCTTCGCTGATTCCAAATGATAATAACATGGATACAAATTGAACATATTCAAAATAAACTTACTGACATTAATTGTGAACGCAAGTACTTTTTCAGTGGGTACATTGTTATAAGTAACAATGCATTTATATGTTGCTGTAATTTCTTTGCTGGTATCAACTTTGTATGTATTGGATGAACTTTTGATTAAGGATGTTGCTCCGACCTGTAATCAATATTTATCACATAAATGTACTTTAAGAACCATAAGGTTTTGTTTAATTAAAGTAAAGCATGCAATATATCCAACAAACACAGGAGTAGATATTCACTTAAGGACAGTGGCGTAGCGAGATCGGGTGTTACCCGGTGCGGCACTTAATGGTGCCACCCCCCCCCCCCCCCCAGAGGCATAGCGACCCTTCCCGGGGACAAACTTTCAAATTTTAAATTTGCACCCCCCTCAAGTTTTTCTTTATATATTTTGCTATTTTTTGCCTTGGTGTCACCCCCCCCCCCCCTAAATGGTGTCACCAGGTGCGGTCCGCACCCCCTGCCCCCCCCCCCCCCCTCCCTCGCTACGCCTATGCTTAAGGATATCAAATTAATGTAAGCTACTTTTTATAGATACTGTATCTAAACCAAGACTTACCAATTTTCCTGTCAAATAATATCCTTGTTTTAAATACTATTACATTGTTAAGTTCTATATTACATGACTGTTACAATAATTTCAAGAACGATGATATTGAAATTTCAAAAGAAATAGTGATTCAAAGAATAGGAGCTAAATACTAGCCACCTATAATAATGGTTTGAGAAGTCTGATTATTGGTTGTGTAAGTGTTTATAATTTCACAAGCAAAAGCTGCATTATTAAAAAATGTAACATTTCTAAACTTGCATAATTTTAAGTTGGTAAAGCATGCGAATTAGTGTGCTTAACAGTACAAAAAACGTTATGTATAAAAAATAAAAAGACGACATGTGCCACAAGTTACCTCTGCTGCTTTGTTATCTATTTATCTATTTTTTTAACATGAAAAATGAAAACAGATTTAAGTTTGTATTAAGACAGGATATTTATAATATTATTGGACGAAAAAGCTATACGGTAAGTTTACTTAACGGGTGGTGTAGGACAAAAATTATGGTTGTTAAAATAGCGTGTAATTCATTGACTTTAAAATAAAATGGTTGGCTTAATAACAATCGTAACTACCTTGAAAAGAAGGTTACAAAACAACTAAGACTTATTTAGATAACTTAAGCATTTTTCCATTATATATTATTTACATTCATTTATCATAAATAAATACAGATATTAATTACAAACCAAAAACTCATATTGAATTTTAGAGATGTCTAAATATTCAGGTATTGGCGTGGTCGTGCATGTGAGTGTGGGACCGTCTGCTCCAACGTTGTAGGTTGTTTCTCCAGCTAGATCACCAGTTACCGAGTCGGATGCAACCAAGGTAACCGCTGCAACTGTCACGGCTATAAATAATGAGTCAAGTGTGATGATATTTATACATAATTGCATATTAACATAGGTTATATATATATATATACATATATATATATATATATATATATATATATATATATATATATATATATATATATATATATATATATATATACATATATACATATATACATATATACATATATACATGTATACATATATACATATATACATATATACATATATACATGTATACATGTATACATATATACATATATACATGTATACATATATACATGTATACATGTATACATATATACATATATACATGTATACATGTATACATGTATACATGTATACATGTATACATATATACATATATACATGTATACATGTATACATGTATACATGTATACATGTATACATGTATACATGTATACATATATACATATATACATATATACATATATACATATATACATATATACATATATACATATATACATATATACATATATACATATATACATATATACATATATACATATATACATATATACATATATACATATATACATATATACATATATACATATATACATATATACATATATACATATATACATATATACATATATACATATATACATATATACATATATACATATATACATATATACATGTATACATGTATACATATATACATATATACATGTATACATGTATACATATATACATATATACATGTATACATGTATACATGTATACATGTATACATATATACATATATACATATATACATGTATACATATATACATATATACATATGTACATATATACATGTATACATATATACATGTATACATATATACATGTATACATATATACATGTATACATGTATACATGTATACATATATACATGTATACATATATACATGTATACATGTATACATATATACATATATACATGTATACATGTATACATGTATACATATATACATATATACATATATACATGTATACATATATACATATATACATATATACATATATACATGTATACATGTATACATATATACATGTATACATATATACATGTATACATGTATACATGTATACATGTATACATGTATACATGTATACATGTATACATATATACATATATACATGTATACATGTATACATGTATACATGTATACATATGTACATGTATACATGTATACATATATACATATATACATGTATACATGTATACATGTATACATATATACATATGTACATGTATACATATATACATATATACATATGTACATGTATACATATATACATATATACATATATACACATATACATATATACACATATATAGGCCTATATATATACATATAAACATATATACATATATGGTAGACTGTCTCTGCAATTGTACAATTTATATTAAACTTTTCCCTTATTCTATAATTTAACTTAGGTCATCGTGAGATAACAAGCCACTCAGAATCAAACCTTATTTCGGACCAAAAGTAATGGGTTAAAAAAAAAAACGTTTTTATTTTATACCCGCCAAAAAGTGTAATAAGTGTTAGATTTCCCCCCCCCCCCCCTCAAACGTCTTGTTCCCTCCCTCCCCTGTGTTTCTGGGTCTAGTTAAATGTTAGGAATGGTATATGTATATTGTGGAGGGGCATGGTAGTAGTAGGGATAAGGGGCAGAAATGTTATACAAACGTTGAGTACCCTTGATTTAATTCTACCTTTTAAAACCATTTGATCTATTTTAATAGCTTTTTTATGTCCAGTTGCATAAAGAGAGACTAAGTGGCTAATTATTATATTAGCAGCACTAGCAAAGTAAACGTCCAGGCTCATCCAAAACGTTTTCCTGATGAAAAAAAATATCGTACCCGCGGATGCTGTAGGTAAAGTGACCAAGGCCGATTGAGAAAAAGTAATACTCTTATAACTGTCTAAATTGCAGGATATTGACTTAGTACTTAGTGCAGCGGTCATCGGGAGTTTGACAGACAATGATGTTGTGCTTGACGCAACAAGATTAGTCCCTTCCTGTGAATCAAAATGACATATTTAATGGTATTATGCTAGCTTATAACAAATTAAAAATACAAAAATAATGCAAACAATAAACGAAGTGAATTTTTCTGTATTTTCAACAGTAGTTAACGACTTATAAGAAAAAACGTCTTTTCGTCACTAAGCTCAAAATTTATAATTGTGTTCGTATTATTATTTATATAACATTATATTTAACTATATATGTAACCAACATAGGCATTTTATTATGCAATGAGAATACATAAGTTGAGAGACAAGCTGTGTTTACAAATCCATTATAAAGATGCAAGTTAAAGGTATACAAGTTGAACAGCAAGCTGTGTTGTCACCTGTATTTCAAAATGTATATAACAAGCGAATTTTATAGACTAATTTTAACACAATATTTCAACGCTAAAAACTTTTTTTTCTAAATTTGAATGAAATATAAACTTATATTAAATGTTATAGGCAAAATTTTCTTAACAATTTTTTTTCAACAGTATAAATCTAGCTTGCTAATAGGTAACAGTAAACATATATTTTTGTTGCTTGTAGGCCTACATGTTTTAATTAATTTTTAGGAAAAAATATTTTATTATATATTATGTATTTTTCATTATGAAAAGTGAAACAAAAATTAAATTAAATTTATAAAAAGAATTAGAGGGTCATAGACGGTTAGATTTGATGCCATTTTCAGAGTGGGTGCTGCCGTCTTGTGACAATATGCTGCCTAGTAGATTGTTCTTCATACAGAGGCGTAGCGACCGGGGGTTGGGGGGGTGGGGGGGGGCGGGCGGGGGAGTACATATGTTCCCGGGCGCCGACCCTAGGGGCGCCAAAAGGGGTTTGAAAAATAAACTCATTTTAGATGCAGTTTTGCATTATAAATATAAAAAACATATGAGTGGGGGCGCTAAATTGAAAGTTCATCCCCGGGCAATGGCATAGGCGGGGGGGGGGGGGGGTTTCGTACGTCCCCCCAAAGACCCCTATATATATATATATATATATATATATATATATATATATATATATATATTATAGTAATAATTGTCGGCATGTTCATTAAACACAAGTTTTAAAAAATATATCATCTTTTACAAAAATTCTAATTATGTCTTTATTTAGTCCTATAGCACTTACTTCCCTTTGATAAATTAGGAAAAACACAATTACTTCCCTTTATAACTTTATAAAACCATTGCATTCCGTGAAAATAATTTACTTTTTAATTACTTTGTTTTGGTGTTGGGAAAAAAAATAATTACATAATTAGCGGGGATTAATCAAGTGCAAATGTAGGTATTTTACGGATAAGCTTGGAGTATTAAAATTGTTTATTAAATTGAAACAGGCGCGTTCGTTTAAGTGAGTGCAAAAGACTGTGAATAAGTTGGGGTACTATAGTCGTTCATTAAGCTAAAACAGGTGATTCCGCCCCGGGCGTTTATGTTCGCGTTAGTGTTTTCTTTGTGTTTAGGTGGGTTTGCGTTAGTGGTTGCGTTTTAATTTGGTTCGTTTTTGTTCTTTCTTTTTTCGTTTTTGTTTGTGTTTTTTTTGTTTGGGTTTGTATTTGTGTTTTTGGTTGGTTTTGCGTTTGGATTTGGTTTGTTTTCGTTTGCTTTTTTCGTTGATTTTTTTTTTGTTGGTATTGGTGTTTGTGGTTGGGTTTGTTGTTAGGTTTTTGTTTTCGTTTGCTTTTTTGTTTGTTTTTTATTTGTGTATGTATTGGTGTTTGTGGGTGTGGTTGTGTTTGTTGTTAAGTTTTTGTTTTCGTTTGTATTTGTAATTGTGTTAGCGTTATGTTTGCGTTTTGTTGTTTTGGTTGGTTGTGGTTTGGGTGGGCAATGCCGGGTTTAGGATGATTACTAAACACACAGGTAATGGTCTTTAACAGAAAGGTTTTTCACAGAAGCCAGAGCAGGGCCTGGCCGGGACGGCTAGTATCTAATATATAAAGCTCAGTTCTGTATGTAATCTGTATGTCGTTGGAAGTGTACGAATTTAAAAGTTAGAAAATTATCGTGCGCATTTGTCTAAATTTATGAGCTAAAAAATTACTATTGAAAGTGTTGGGAAATAATTTTCATTTTTCAAATTATAGTAATAATTGTCGGCATGTTCATTAAACACAAGTTTTAAAAAAAATATCATCTTTTACAAAAATTCTAATTATGTCTTTATTTAGTCCTATAGCACTTACTTCCCTTTGATAAATTAGGAAAAACACAATTACTTCCCTTTATAACTTTATAAAACCATTGCATTCCGTGAAAATAATTTACTTTTTAATTACTTTGTTTTGGTGTTGGAAAAAAAAATAATTACATAATTAGCGGGGATTGATCAAGTGCAAATGTTGTAGTTATTTTACGGGTAAGCTTGGAGTATTATAATTGTTCATCAAATTGAAACAGGCGCGTTCGTTTAAGTGAGTGCAAAAGACTATGAATAAGTTGGGGTACTATAGTCGTTCATTAAGCTAAAACAGGTGATTCCGCCCCGGGCGTTTATGTTCGCGTTAGTGTTTTCTTTGTGTTTAGGTGGGTTTGCGTTAGTGGTTGCGTTTTGATTTGGTTCGTTTTTGTTCTTTCTTTTTTCGTTTTTGTTTGTGTTTTTTTGTTTGGGTTTGTATTTGTGTTTTTGGTTGGTTTTGCGTTTGGATTTGGTTTGTTTTCGTTTGCTTTTTCGTTTGTTTTTTCGTTGTGTTTGTATTGGTGTTTGTGGTTGTGGTTGGGTTTGTTGTTAGGTTTTTGTTTTCGTTTGCTTTTTTGTTTGTTTTTTCTTTGTGTTTGTATTGGTGTTTGTGGTTGTGGTTGGGTTTGTTGTTAGGTTTTTGTTTTCGTTTGTATTTGTAATTGTTTTAGCGTTATGTTTGCGTTTTGTTGTTTTGGTTTTGGTTGGTTGTGGTTTGGGTGGGCAATGCCGGGTTTATGATGATTACTAAACACACAGGTAATGGTCTTTAACAGAAAGGTTTTTCACAGAAGCCAGAGCAGGGCCTGGCCGGGACGGCTAGTATATATATATATATATATATATATATATATATAATGCTGGAAAAAATGTGACCCCCCCCCCCCCATGAGACGATCCTGGCTACGCCAATGTCCCCGGGCGCCGGGAAGGGTCGCTACACCTCTGTCTTCATAGGATTAAAATAATACAGTTCAAATTTATTTCGAAATTTAAGTGAGGCGAGTATTCTCATAAAATATGTACACTACATAAAAATCCCGAGTAGTTTCAGTATATGTTCAGCATTTATATTGATTAAAATACGCTTTAATGAACTCTTTTAGTTTTTTAACTATATAGTATTCTCTACCAAACGCTATAATTAAACAAATAGATTTTAAAAATGTAATCGGCCTAGCGAGTCTATTGACTTACCGCCTCATCTATTTTTAACATACGCATTCGGTGTCAATCGTAATGTAATAAACAAAAAATATTTGAAAAAAACAATTCAATATTTGAATAAAGGACAGCTAATCTAGAAAAATTACATGTTTTCGCAACGGCCTGTAGGATAATACTTTGCTAAATTAGTCGTCTAATAAATGTATCGCTTTTATGGTTATTGTTATAAAAATTATTTGGGTAAGGGGTTCTATGATGATGAGTTCTGATTAGTACTAGTGCATTGACCATTATTAGAAATGTAAGCTAGAGTTTGCACGGTGCATGTGTTGTGAATCTTTTATAAAAAAAAAACTGACAAACTTGAAATATAGAAATGCAATTTAAAAAACAAACATGTTTTTTTAAACTAATAATCTGTACCCGAAAAGATACTTGTCCGCTGTAACCCATAGGGACACCAGAGCATGAGAGAGTTACGTTGTTTCCAGTAAGGATAGGACCTGCGGTAGAGGCAATACTTGCTGCCAGCGACCCTGCGTCTGCGAATGAAGTATATGGTTAATATTATAGATTACACCAATGGAACATTACAACAGATTATATGAATTCAGTATTACGTCGATTATATAATACACATAGTGTCTACTCTCAACCAGAGGCGTAGCGAGGGGGGGGGGCGGGGGGTGCGGACCGCACCGGGTGACACCATTCAGTGGGGTGACACCAAGGCAAAAAATAGCAAAATATATAGAGAAAAACTTGAGGGGGCTGTAAATCGAAAGTTTGAGGGGGGGATGCAAATCGAAAATTTGTCCCCGGGAAGGGTCGTTACGCCTCTGGGGGGTGACACCATTAAGTGCCGCACCGGGTGAAACCCGACCTCGCTACGCCACTGCTCCCAACAGGTTGGGAAAAGCCGTATTAGCGCTATTTAAAACCAGTTTGGAATAGCCCTAATATATGTTATACATGTTCTAAGCAAACAGTTCGGCTTTGCAAATTCATATAGTTTTTTTTTACAGTGTTTTCTATCATTTAAATTATTCCAAAGCGTCTAGTACAAAACATCCAACAAATGCATGAGTAGAAAGGTGGTATTATATTTTTATAGATTTTTACAAATTTGATTAGACCAATCAACCAGTTAAACTAATTAAACTAGCAAAAACAATATTTCGATTTCCGTGATCTAACCAAAAAATACAAAATTATTTTGATTGTGCAAATATTGGTTTTGATTATTGATTAAGCATTAAAATGTACATCATTTGAAAGAACACATTAATGACTTAATAACTCTTACAAGTCGAGCATAAAACAAAATACTACCAGACTTCGTGATTATATACACAGTGAAGATTTTTTTGTAACCGTAGACATTATGCGAATAGTGTTTTTTGTGTATAAAATAATTAATTAAAGCTATTTATTTGCGCTGTGCATTTTTAATAGTAAACTGTTTATACTTACAAGCACCAGAAGTAAGGATAGAGATGGAGACTGCATCACTTTTATCAGAGTTTAAGCTCTCTGTGTTAGCGATAGCTTGGCATCTGTTAGAAGATGTTTACAATTATTGAATATTGCTCGTCATATTATACATTAACTGCGAGCTAATAGGACTTTTGTGGCCTTTTGAACAATACTTATGTATATATTACGGTCAAAGCTCGATGTGTGATTTTAATAATCAGAAAAACTAACCAAGGTATGATTATTAACTGGGGTGGTTCTTTTTGTCCGTAAAAATCCAAACAGTTTCGTCACTTTGCGAATGATGCAATTAGCATCTATTTTTAGACAATCAATCACATTCTACTGAACCTTGGCTTTGGCGATGCCTTGGATTTCCGTGAACTAGTTTAAGTTCAGTCCACATGTTCAGAAATAACTTGATTCATTAATTCTCTTCCATTAGGATTTGGATTATTTATTTTGGCAGCCATCTGGTATGTTTGTCAATTGGTTTGACGGCCCTTTTGGTCCATGTCGCATGGCGTACTCACAATGAAACCGCACCCAGAATAATGAAAACGCGATCACAAGTCTAGATAGGACATCCCGGCAAGTGCGCGCATAGGCTGGCCAATATATGAAATACTTTGTCAATTTTAAACTTTTCGGACTTTGGCCATCACGTCCCGGCCAGTGCGCGCATTAGCCGGCCAATGTACGAAATATGCACTCCATACTCTTCGGGCCTTGGCCAAGAGAGCCGGCCGATGCGCAGAATGGCCGGCCAATGCGGGCTTTGGACGAACTTCGGGCTTTGACCGTATTATATTTCCAAATTTTTGGAACGGAGTGTTCTAGCGGTAGAGAGCTGGACTGCTAACCCGTAAATCTCGAGTTCGAATCCGGGTTCAAGTCAGTAGACCGTCCCTGAGTCCACCCAACTCTGATGGGTACCTAACTAACGTTATGGAAAGTTAAGGCAGCTGAGCATAGTGCTGACCACACTATCTCTTCATATGCCGAGGTCACAGAAACAAGTGAACTCTACTTCACTTGCCCCATAGACCGTCAGGTTTAAGCGGAAACTTTTACTTTTATGTCAAAATGTGTATAATAATGTTGCAAACCCTACCTAAACCAGGGAAACATTTTACACACATAGTCTTTTTGTTATCCCTTCCCCCCCCCCCCCCCCCCCCCCCACTGTCCTACACTCTCCACTAAAAACCCGGTACCACTGTGCCTTCGTTTTTTTCAGGTAGAACAATTTGCTCCTGTAAATGTAATTAAAAAACTTTCCAACATCCATAAAACAAGGTATGTATATGTTTATATTAATGTACAAAAGACATCAGGATAGCTGGAAATTGTAAACCTACACCAGTTCTCATATGTCGAATGATAAACAAAGTAAAGTAACAGCGGACACCTTTGGGACAGGTAGAGGCTCGCTGATAAAGATCAAGTTAAAACACATATTTCATGCAAAGCTAATACATAGACTGGGAACTCTTACTTAACTAAAAAACTAAAATAGGAAAAAAATAAAATATTAATTCCAATTAAGACAATCTCAAGCAAAACATCACTTGATAAGCCCTCGAGTAAATTAACGTTAGAACAGTCTTCTGTGTCCCAGGTTTTAAAAGTGCACAATCTGAATGGTAGAAAGAGATACACATCTCACCCCCTCCCCCCCCCCCACCACTATTCCCCCCCACCCATCCGGATTGGCGGATATATCAACGGCAGCGTGACCATATCGTCAGGGCTCAATTTTGTGTCATGGAAAATTTTGGAATGATAGATCAGAATAAGTATTACAGCGACCCCTCTCCCACGGTCGTTTCTATTTCAGTCCATGGGTGGCTACAATGTGAACTTTTGATTTCACAGCTGAGGATGGAGCACAGTAAACTAAACAGTCGAAAGAAACCGAGTTTGCCAACCTTATTTTAGTGTAGTTTTTATGCCATTTTATTTTCTCCAATTAATTACTACGAGCTGACTCGCGACGTAAGCATACGTCGCTGTTTAGTTGTTTTATTTTCTACTTTGTAGTAATTCATAATTCACTACCAATATGCGACTGGAAATATTTTGCTTTAAAACACTATCAGCAGCTGGTAAAAATGATTATCCTCATCCTCCCTCCCCAAAAAAGCTTTTATTCCGTAAAAGCAGCCGTCCGTGACTACAGTTTACAGACGACCATGAATAGTTAGGCAGAAATTGTTATTACCTCCCCTTTTTAAATCTAAATTATCGGCCCCTACACCTAATTGTAAACATTCGGGGTGAACCACAGCTCACCTGACAGGTGGGGATGAGGGTGGTGGCTAAGCTGCGTGGTGTATTCTGTGGTCCCCATAAACAGAGTTATATATACGAGCCGACCCGAGGCGTATTATACGCCGCTATTTAGTTGTTTTATTTTCTACTTTTCAGTAATTCATAATTTGTGAATTCGACAGTAACAATGCTGCAACTGAAAATATTTGCTTTAAAACACTATCAGTAGGTCGTTAAGGACGATAACCCCTCCCCCAACCTCCTTTCCCCCAACCCCTACCCTACCCCCCCCCCCCCCTAATGAAAGCAGCCTCCTCTTAGTTACCTCCCCTAAGTTTAAAAATCGTTTCAAACTAAATTATGTGCCGCTAATAGCCGTCACTAAACCCAACTCTACGATTGTAAACATTTAGCGTGAACCACAGCTCACCAGACCATGTGGGGTGGTAGGGATATGCTTAGAGATGTAGAGATGGGGCTGCTATGCGCGCTTTACAGCTTGGTGTTTTCTAGGGTATACAAGAAGAGAATTATATATATAGATTTATACATTTGATGTTCATGTCTTTGAAACTATATAAAACCATCAAATAAATTATTATTACTAATTTAAATGTTTAAAACAAATACATTTTTTTAAAAGTGTTGGAGGACTAGTATAGATATAGATATTTAAAAGGGAAGAATGTTTTGTTTGGTGTGTCTCATTGTAATCAACATAACTTGTCCGGTTGCTTAAAATTAGTATCATTTTAATTCCCTGTAATCCCAAATTTATTTCAGCTCTTAAAAGCCTAAACTCTCCTCAGGCCACCACGCCGATTGAAAAAATCCCTTGAATCATCATTTAATTACACATTTGCATTTTCAGTTGTTTTTTTTTTAAATAAAATTGTAATTAGACGTTTTGTATTAGATCTATGTTTAAGTAAACCAGCTTAAATGAATGAAAGTATGCTTCAAGTATGAAATAAGTATTACTATTGTAAATCTGCATCAGTCCTCAGAAGCCTATGATGAGAACTATAATGCTAAAGCGAAAATGCAAGGCAAGCAAATTGACGCTGTAAATAACATGTCTGAGGCGAAAAATAAAGATTTGTTTTCTTTTATGGATGCAAAATCTATAGCGATGACGGAATGAGGGACGGACAAACTGACACACTAGAACCAGCATTATTATTTTATATTATAGACTAGCTGCATACCCGTGCTCCTCCACGGTAAATCTTTTTTAAATGTAACAACTTGGGAACAGAACAAAACTAAACACAACACAAACACAACACAACCGCAAAAGAAAACACAAACACAATGCAAACACAAATGCAACACACAAACACAAAAGAAAATAAACCGGGAGTGATCTCCCCTAAACTTTCTCGAATATTCTTATATAAAACAACAGGGGATGGGAACTCGGGCTATAGACATGATTTTTAATCAATTTTAAATACTTAAAGTTTTAAAAATAGAATAAAATCTCGTAGACAAAATAATTGCACACCAAGTGAACGCCAAATAAAAAAGTGCATTATAGTGCGCAATATTATTAGTACTTTAAAAATTTACATTAGTTTTTTGAGAAATCGGAAGTAGCGTAAATTACTACTTCCGATCAACGGAAATTACTCAACATTTATCAGAAGGTAGAAAGTTAGATCTTTTACTCACATGTGAAATTTCATTTATCTATCTGAAATAGTACTCAAGTTATAGGCTTTTGAAAAATTCAAAGTAGTAAAAGTACCACTTCTGATTATCGGAAATCGCTTAAAAGTTGGTACGGATCTACGATTTTGATAAAATATATATGAAATTTCATCAACCTAGCTGTAACGGTACTCAAGTAATAGTGTTTACACACACACAGACACACATACAGAGAGACACACAGACATACAGACAGGATTGCAAAGCCCAGTTTTTCAGAATGGATTACGCATAAAACCTCTTAATTTTGATAAATCTGGATTGATAATTTTTGCCCTATTAAAATAAGTCCTCTATAATTCGGATGTGATGAAGGACTGAGGTGTAATACGGTGAAAATTGTTAAAATTTCAAGAGATTTTTTTGCACGATTACAATACTTTTCTATACTTCGTATATACGAGAAAGTAAAAACAAACGCAAATAAAAAGACAAATGAAAACACCAACACAATGCAAACACAAACGCCAAAAAACATAAACGAAAAATAAGCACAACACTCATAACATAAACACAACTTAAATGCAGACATTAACGCATATTGCTCACTGTTTAGCCCGTTGTGCCAAATCGCACCCTGTCCAAGCGCCGGCGGACGCGCCTAATTCAGTGAATGACTATAAAACCCACAGGGTTTAGGAAACAGAGGCGTAGCGACCCTTCCCGGCGCCCGGGGACATACTTTCAATTTGGCGCCCCCCTCGGGAGCAAATTTTCGATTTGCACCCCCCCCCCCCTCGAACTTTACATTTGCACCCCCCCTCGAACTTTTCATTTGCACCCCCCCTCGAACTTTTCATTTGCACCCCCCCTCAAACTTTCGATTTGGCGCCCCCCTAAGGTCGGCGCCCGGGGACATATGTCCCCCCCCCTCGCTACGCCTCTGTTAGGAAACACTACGTTCAATGTATAAAATAAATAAAAGGAAGTATTTAAAATATCCGTGTTTTATCTACCATATTGCACTTTATCAATTCATGCATTTTTTTTAGTACTTTAAATTTTAAAAATTTACAATAGAGTTTCATGACTAAAACCATTGCGCACCTAATAAACATAATGACGCATCTATAACAGTGCGGAATAGCTGATTAAAAATTTATAATTAGTAAACAGGATGTTTAGTGAATAAAATAAATAAATGATAACCTTTTATGAATCCATGCTAATTATAATATTCCAACAATAATGTCCTTTTACATTAATGTCCTCTGCAGATTTGCATTCACATTTTGCTAATTATATTATAATAATTATATTATTCCCTCTTGGAGTTTTTGCATTCATATTTTTGTGTTAGAGTGAGTTGAATTTATTTTTAAATTACCCCCCTGGCAAAATAACAAAACAGTTTAATTAATTAATTACTTAATTCGACCCTACTATTATTAAAATGTATCCACTTTTTCTAGGAATCAAAACGAAAATGTTATTGAACATTGATCAGTTTATATGTTTTAGCAATTTGCGTGTATTTAATAATTTTGTTTTTTACGTTATGCGAAAAAGTAAAAACTGTGACAAGAATAAAAATACATTTAAGTCGTTATATAAACAAACCTTTCTCTATAACTTATAATAATACACTGCGATGAAGGTAAAAGCACAAATATGATGTGTTTTTGTTTTATGGTTCCAAAATCTATATCGATAACACGAGGAAGGAAGGAAGGACTGACACACTGCTACAAGCGTTGTATTATAGATAAACGAGAAAGCTTATGGGAGATTACTCCCGCTTTATGTTTCAGTAGTTTAAAATTTGTAACTGATCAGTTCTATCTTTTATTTTTTAACATAGAAAAAAAAATTCTTTTGCACATAAAAGTTTTCCGTTTTATACAATAGAGTTTCATGACTAAAAACTAGAGCCCACTAAATGAACATCAGAAATGCGCGTATAATAATGGTGTAAATAGCAGAGGTGTAGCGACCCTTCCAGGCGCCTGGGGACAACTTTCAGTTTGACGCCCCCCACCACCCCCCCCCCCCCCCCCCCACGGGGACAAACTTTTAATTTGCCCCCCCCCCCCCTATATTTTTAATATTTATAATGCAATACTGCAGCTAAAATGAGCTTTTAATTTATATGTACCTCCCCCGCCCCCCTCACTACACCTCTAGTAAATAGTTCTTTTTATGGGACATGTTAATCAAATCTTTATAAAAAAGTCAAATTTGATCTAAGAATGCATTGTAATCGGGTCTTGGCAGAAGTGTTAAATTTCAAAACCAAGAGGTCAGTTAAAAGTGGTCGAAATTACGCTCGTCAGTTTAAACGACATGTTGCAGAGGCGTAGCGACCCTTCCCGGGGACAAACTTTTCGCTTTGCACCCCTCCGCCTCAAGATTTCGACCCCCCCCCCCCCCCCTCAAACTTACGATTTGCACCCCCCCCCCTCCCTCAAGATTTCGATTTGCACTCCCCCCCACCCACCCCTCAAACTTTCGATTTGCACCCCCGTCAACCTTTCAATTTATTTTTCCAACCCATTTTGGCGCCCCCTAAGGTCGGCGCCCGGGGATATATGTCCCCCCCCGCCCCCTCCCCTCGCTTAGCTACTTACATGTTGACGGAAAGACATACAAAGGAAGCACGTTAAATGAACGCTCGCAAAAACATTGATGTTACACGATTACACTAAAAGGGCCATCCACGTTTAAATTGATATAATAATATAAAAGAAGTTAGGGGATATCCTCCCCGTTTTGTTTATAAAAGTTCTAATAACATTAATTTTTATGCATGACTCAACGAGCCGAAAATACAGTCTACATTGAAAGCAGCAGACGACATAGGATTTTTTTGTATATCGCTGTAAATTTTTTCAATTGCAAAACCATACAGCTAAAATTGTAAGAAAATAAAATTTCTTTAGTTCTTTTTATATTATTATAATTAAGTACCATTGTTGCCTTATCCTTATGGTTGAAATCTGTACTATAATTTGTTTATTTTGTCCATCCATTACGGTTATTTCTTTATGAATTAGTTCAACTGATTAAATATTAACCCATACTAAAACCTGTTTACATTTTGTATGAAACACGAGTGCAATATTCCGTTATAAGTCAGTGATCGAATGAAGTGTAAAGTTGTTTTTTATTTTTTGCTTTCTTGCAACGTTCAGAGGCGTAGCGATGGGGGGTGGGGGCAGGGGGGGGCATATGTCCCCGGGCGCCGACCTTAGGGGGCGCCAAAATGGGTTGTAAAAACAAATTAAAATGTCAATTTAGCTGCATTTTTGCAGTTTGAGGGGGGGATGCAAATCGAAAAGTTGAGGGGAGGGGGGTGCAAATGGAAAAGTTGAGGGGGTGGTGCAAATTGAATGTTTGCTCCCGAGGGGGGCGCCAAATTGAAAGTTTGTCCCCGGGCGCCGGGAAGGATGGCTACGCCTCTTGCAACGTTATTTACAACTTGCAATCTACAAGGGTATATTATTAAAACTAAGGGGGGGGGGGGTGACAGAGTTTAGTAAATAGGGGGAGGGAGTTGCGGTTTTAAATTAAATGATGGCAGGATGGATAAAGAGATAAACAGTTTATGAGTACTTTTGTAGAAGCACATTTTATGAAACTGAAAGTCAATTTTAAATAGCATTTATGTAGTGTTGGTATAAAGATTAGGAAAGGAGATGTAGGATTTTAAAAGGTTGGTAACTTGGGATTAAGTTCGAGTCTGTAGAACGTCCCTGCTTCCAGAGGCGTTGCGACCCTTCCCGGCGCCCGGGCACAAACTTTTCGATTTGCACCCCACCCCCACACTATTTCGATTTACACCCTCCCTCAAACTTTCGATTTGCCCCCCTCAACCTTTCACTTTGTTTTTCTAACCCATTTTCGCGCCCCCTAAGTCGGCGCCCGGGGACATAAGTCACTATATTACCTTTTGGATACCTTTACTAATATTTAGGAAAAGAACCACGGTTTTCTTTGTATTTATTTAAATTGTAGCGTATTATTATATATTAAAAGAAAATAATATGTTTTATACTTTTTAGTGCATTATTACATAAAAGCTTGTAATTAAAACGTTTTTCATGAAGTTTTGTTTAGTACTTTTATTTATTTTTAATTTACATTAGAGTTGCATGACTTAAAACCAATGCGTACCTAATGAACATGATGATGCGCTTATAATAGTGCGGAATATTTGGATAAGTCTGCTCTTAATTTGGACAAAATTTTAATTAATTCATAAAAATTAATTGGGTATCGAAATTAGAAATTCAATGTCAGATTGCATTGTTTCATGTCTTGACCCACGTGGAAATTTTGAAACGAATCTGTTAATTAGAAGTGCCCGAAATTTCGCTCGTATCTTTCATATCTATAACGACGGACAGACTAACGACACACTGATGACAGACAGAGGAAGCAAGTTAAATAAAAGCTTGTAGTAAAATAATAGATTAACGCCGTTTAAGGTGTGACAACGACGAAAGATAATCTTCTGCGAACTATCAAATTAACATTCAGTAAATATTTAGCACTTCTAATAGAATGGTTTATTTTACTTGTATTCTCCAGCTTCTGAGATGGTGAGTGTCTTGGAGGTGTTGACATAGGCCGCAGCATTGAACCACTTGTAGGAAGATGCACCTGGAACTGTCGAACATTGCAGAATGCCTGTGGTTGCAGAAAAAAGATCGGAAGATCTACCAGTCTCAAGTTGCGCTGTTGGTGTTTTCAGTTTTTCTGTTCAGAAAAAGAGTCAAAAGGAAATTGTTAAACAAAAAAATAAAAGAATTTTGTTTTTATAAATTTACTAGGCATGCTGCCCAGCTTCGCTTAGGCTTTCAAAAACATTGAGAATTTGAATGCTTAATTAATTCGCCCGAGGGTCGGTCTACGACCTCAGGAGTTATGAAGAGGTTCCTACGTGGAATTTTTTTTTTCGATTTATAGCTCATATAAGGCGCCGGTCAGTCGAGGTCTGTTTTGACCCCCTCATCGTAGACCCTTAGGCCAACCGGCACCGGCCCCTGTGTTCTGTCGCCCCAAGGCAAGATCCTGCCAAATTTGAAGCGCCTGCGGCGCCGGGAAGTGCCCGATGTCGGGCACCCGACAACTTTGCTTCATATATTATAGAGATTAGCAAATTGCATAGATAAACAAAGATTTCCAAAGTAGTTCCTTTCTTTATAGTCTAAAATAGGAAGATTCACAAATTAAAAAAAATAGGTTTGACTTGGTGTGTCTCGATCCGGCACCACCTGTGTGGTATCAAGTACACTATCATCTCAGCTAATTAGTTACCTTTAAAATATGGAGAATAAAAGAAGTGTTTAAAAAAAAAAAAAACTTACGCGAATATGCCTATTTTTTCAAATTCATTTTTTTACCCAAAATTAGCCAGTTTCATTGCTAAAAAAACAAAGATTTCTATAAAATATTTAAGTACTGAAAAAGTTTATTATAGAAATTTATTTTTGGAATAGATTCTACAGTAGATAGAGTCTAAATCTAGATCTAGAATAGATCTTAGTGACGTAGCGTAGATTTAGATCTAGTCTTGATCTAGAATCTCTAGATCTAGAATCCAAATAGATAAAATAATTTTTTTAAGTTTATGCCGAGAAAATCGTATTGTAAAGTCTACATTTTATTATAGCGTACATAGCTCTAAATCATATTTGAATGAAATAGTTCATTTCTTTTTATTCTAAACTCGGAAGATGACGTCATCAGTTTTGTGCTCTTTTTTTAGTGTAAACAATAAGCGGTGAAAATATTTTGCGGACAGACAGACAGAGAGAGAGAGAGAGAGAGAGAGACAGAGAGAGAGAGAGAGAGAGAGAGAGAGAGAGAGAGAGAGAGAGAGAGAAGTGCGCACATGGGTTTTTTATATATTAGGATATCAAATTATGCTTTGTATTTAGTGTGATGGCTTTTACTCCAAAAAATACACAATAAATTTTAAACGAATGTGTTTTATTTATAAACATACACGAGCTTGTACTTAACAACATGATGCAAATCTGTTAACAACATCGTGTTATGATAGCAAACGTATCCTAATATATAAAAGACCCCGTGCGCACTTCTCTCTCTCTCTCTCTCTCTCTCTCTGTTTTCTGTCCGCAAAATATTTTCGCCGGACATCACGTCAGAAACTGCAGCGATATATGAAGAACTTTATACGGACTTTTGTTGAAAATAATATGTTAGATGTTTTAAATGTATAACCACAATTTTATTTAAAGAAGAAAAATAAAAAATAAAGGCGTATTTGAATGTAGAAAAACAATTTTAATTATGCAACCGGAAAAGTGTTTAAACTTGGGACAAGAACGCATTTAACAATGACGTCGTTTATTGTTTACACTAAAAAAGCACGAAACTGATGACGTCATCTTCCGAGTTTAGAATGAAATAAAGAAATGAACTATTTCATTCAAATATGATTTAGAGCTATGTACGCTATAAAATGTAGCCTATACAATACGATTTTCTCGGCCTAAACTTTAAAAAGTTATTTTATCTATTTGGATTCTAGATCTAGAGATGTAGACCCTACCTAGATCTAGAATCTATTCAAATAATACATTTCTATACTAAAGTATTTCAGGCCTTAATTACTTTATTAAAATCTTTGTTTATATATGCAATTTGCTAATCTCTATAATATATAAAGCAAAGTTGTCGGGTGAACGATAGGGCACTTCCCGGCGCCGCAGGCGCTTCAAATTTGGCAGGATCTTGCCTTGGAGCGACAGAACACGGGGGCCGGTTGGCCGAAAATTCTACGATGAGGGGGTCAAAACTGACCTCGACTGACCGGCGCCTTATATGGGCGAATTAATTAAGCATTCCAATTCTCAAAGTTTTCGAAAGCCTAAGCGAAGCTGGGCAGCATGCCTAGTAATTAATACCGTGCATAATGAATTAAGATTTTTTAACAGCGACAACAAATATCGATTGAAACAAAAAATCCTCACAGCACTGTATCATCCAAATCGTTGTATAGGCCTATGTGTTTTTTAACGCTGTTACCGGCACAAAAATCGTACTTTTATCATAATCAGAATCGCTTCTTATATCTTATTCATACACTAATAATAACAATAAAGCACTGTATTCAACTTTCATCGAATTAATTTATCTAACGAAATAATCATCAACGCAGACGGAAAAAGTTAAATTTCAATATAATATAGCATCGGATTTTTTTTAAATTATCGCCCCTACTGTAAACTATTAACACTTTTTAAATTAATGAATTTGTATTCATAAACTTAAATCTAATTTGAGCTTACAGTTAAATTGGCAAGATTAAAAAACAAAGCAAATAACTCGTCATCTTTAATAGATCACAGTAATATATACAATACAACTCTGTACCGACTGATCTATTTTAATTAAGACCTGCGGTAGGAAAAGAAACAAAAATATGCAGTAGGTCTAAAGAGAAAATATACTTAAATGGCTAACGGTAGCGGTGGCGTAGCGAGGTCGGTTGTCACCACCCACCCCCCCCCCCCCCCGAAAAAAAAACTATATATGTCTCTCTCTCTCTCTCTCCCTCTCTCTCTCTCTCTCTCTCTCTCTCTCTATATATATATATATATATATATATATATATATATATATATATATATATATATATATATATATATATATATATATACTAAAACTCAAGTTTGCTTACATGTTTGAATATTTATTTGTTTGTTTGTTTGTCTGATTTGGTACTGTAAGGAAAACTGCTCTATATAGGGGGCTGTAAAATAGTATGTAGGTAGATAACAATTTTTTTTGTAGACAGACTGTAAATCAGACATTTATTTAAAGACGTTAATTAATTTATTGATTTATTCATAGGTAGATTAACCACATTAATTTTAAAGTTTTAGAACAATGGCTTAACTTTGACTGAATAGTGACGTTTGATAACTCATTTGTTTGTTTGTTTGTTTTTCTGATTTGTTATTGGAGAGAATCTGCATTATGTGTAGAGCTGTAAAATAGGATTTTATGTGGTAAATATTGTTCTTTCTTAAACACACTGTTAATTACAAACTAATTTAAAGCCGTTAATTAATTTATTGATTGGTAGATTACCCACATTAATTATAAAAGTTTAGAACAATGATCTTGATAATAGTTAAAAGATTTATTTCATTTTTACAACAATGTTTTCAATTATTTTTTCTTAAGGCATATATGTGAATGATAAGCTTGACTATCAGGACCTCGCGGGGCACAGGGCAGGTGCAGTAGAGTTCACCTGTTTTTATGTTCTCAGCATTTGAAGTGATAGTGTGGTCAGAGCTATGCTCGGCCTGAATCGTTTTTTTTTAAAATACAAACATGTCTGAGACTTGGCGAGGCACTGTGCAGGTGACGTAGAGTTTAATAGATTTTTTAAAATATAAAAAAAACGTCTTTTTGAATGTGGGGTCTGGTTAGTTTGGGGATGAAAAGTGCTGGCAGACGTGATTTTATTTATGGATGACCCCCCCCCCCCCCCCGAAACCCGAAGTTATCTAACTATATATATATATATATATATATATATATATATATATATATATATATATATATATATATATATATATATATATTGTTTTCTATTCTTCTTTTTTATTCTTTTTTGTCTTAGACATGTAATTTACAGCGTCAGTTGTGTGTTCGCTTTAATGAAATATCTATTTAAACTAATGCTATACTTTGTGATATTTGTTTTTTTATTTTCTTTAAAATAGTGAAAACCTTTTTTTTAAAATTATTACTCAAAAAGTTACCTCCCTGTATACATACTAAATGACGTAGTCTGTTTACTTGTTCACAAGCAATTGTTTATATTAAAAATACGGTATCTGGAAAAATCTAACGACCCTAAGATGTTTATCCGACGGAAATAATGTTTTTTTTACCCTCCCGGGTCGGTCTACGACCCAACAAAATATCAAGGGGGGTAAAAAAATAAGCTCATATAAGGCGCCGGTCAGTCGAGGTCAGTTTTGACCCTCTCATCGTGGACCTTAGGACCAACCGGTACCGGCCCCGTGTTCTATTGCCTGTCAAAATCGAATTTATATAAGTATGTTTATACGCATGTGGATGTATTCACATTTTTTATGTATTTAATTTTTTTACCTCCCTTTTCCCCCATTAATGGATTAACATAAGTTATTACCAAACCGTTTACTTCAGGCATATTTTGCAACGTTGTGTTAATGTAACTTCCCCCCACTCATCCCCCCTTTAAACTGTGCTTAGATATAATACTAACTATTTTTACCTATAGTCGAATATAAATACAGCTTGATGTAGCATGTTTTCTCCATCATTATGGTTTATGTCATGGTGTCACCCACCCCCTTTTTAGCCTTGTCGGGATTCATCAAATTTGCTCTTAAAAGACTATTTAATACTCTGATTAACCACTTTTTAAAGTGGAATTATCAATTTTCTGTATATATTTTGTTATTTTTGCCTTGGTGTCACACCCCTGCGGTCGGCACCCCCCTCCCTTCGCTACGTCCCTGAACAGTAGTATGAGTCATTCATTTTAAATTACACCCAGTACCATACAATATTGAAATTTTCAATTAATTCATGTATTCACTCTTTTGTCATTGATATGTATCAAATTTCCTACCATTCTTACACAGAATATTTTTTGACAGTGAGCAGTATACTATTTTAGAAAATGTTCATGTATATATTTTTTCATGTTCTTTTGTGTATGCGGGCGAAGGGAAATAAAAAAATGATGCATTATGTATTATACCCTAATCTCACATCCGCAATTTGACGACCAAGTTTCCTTTTTGGAAAACGGTAATCTCCTTCTGAGCCTGACCCATCTATCACAGGAGCAGGGAAAAACCTTTGTCTATAAAACCCTGATTCATACCATCAGAGCGAGAAGAGACATTCCTATAACGGTTGCATCTACATGAATAGCTGCAACATTGTTACCGGTTGGACGTACTGCACATTCGGTGTTGAAATACCGTCGAAGCACACTACTACTTCCACATGCAATATCAAACCTATCTCGCATCACGCGCAAGATATTCTGCAATCCAAATTGATTATATGGGACGAGGCGCCACTGACACATGCATACGCATTTCAGGCAGTCGACAGGTTGTTACGTGATCTCACAGGTGAGACGCACCCATTTGGAGGGAAAACATACTATTGGGTGGAGATTTCCGACTAATACTCCTCGTCATTCTGTGCGGCTCCCGAGTACTCACTGTCACCAATTGAACTAACTTTCGACATTTGTGGCATCACATGCATGTACTTACATTGACGACAAATATGAGAGCTCTTTCTGACGTACAACATTTCGATGTTGGAGACGGGACAATGGGAACACCTGTAACCACAACTATATGGCGACCTCGACTTCTCAACTGTCATTACGGAACAACTTAGTACGCAAGCTGTACTAAGTGTCACGAACGAAGACTCCCTTCACCTGAATGAACAAGAATAGAAATCTACCCCAACCGACAAAGTAACTTTCTCCAGTGTTGATTCCATCGTCTCCGACGATCCCGAAGGGGAAACGTTAACTTCCCGTAGAATTTCTTAACAGTTTGGAGTGTTAAACTATCGTAGGTGCTGTCCTTACTCCCCAGATATCACTGACTCCATCAGATTCAAATTTGCCTTACATTTTTACGCGCATACAATACCCTGTTAGATTAGCCCTTGCCATGACAATTAATAAATCACAGGGCCAAATGTTCAAAAAGATAAGTCTGTATCTTCCAAAACTTGTTTTTAGTCACGGACAATTGTATGTTGCTCTCTCCAGAGTTCCTTCTTTTCACCCACTCACAGTAGTTTGCCCAAACCCACCCAATTTGGACAACTGTGTCTACCAGGAAATCTTCACCCATCACTAAATAGCGGCGTATGCCACGCCACGGGTAGACCAGTGTTATATAATAGGTTATGAAACATAACAAAATAAAATAACTTTAGACAAAATATAATGATTCGAAACAAATAAAATAATATATTGCGATGCATAAAATGTTCAAGATCTTTTATATTTACCGCCACATCCTGTACGAATTGATGAGTATTCGGCCGTCCTACAGGCACATACGTTAGATGTACATGTTGCTACTGTATTATCTGTTAAAATGCAGTCACCGCTTTGGCCGCAAGAGCCACCGTGCACAAACATTATGAAGCCTGTGGATAGATTAGCAATACTATAATTCAAGTTGCACGCATCAAACATTTTTAGTAAGTTACTTTATGTAAGATTAAATAAGTATATGCTACTTCAATGTATTATTTTGCAAAATCCTGACACTTGAGTATCTAGCATTGTACTGTTAGAATATATAAAGTGTCGCAGCTACCTTATAGCTAGGGTAAGCGAGGCATAAGGGACCTAACCCTAACCCTAACCCTAACCCTAACCCTAACCATAAACCTAACCCTAACCCTAACCCTAACCCTAACCCTAACCCTAACCCTAACCCTAACCCTAACCCTAACCCTAACCCTAACCCTAACCCTAAACCTAAACCTAAACCTAAACCTAAACCTAAACCTAAACCTAAACCTAAACCTAAACCTACCCTTAACCCTAGCCCTAGCCCTAGCCCTAGCCCTAGCCCTGGCCGTAGCCCTAGCCCTGGCCCTAGCCCTAGCCCTAGCCCTAGCCCTGGCCCTGGCCCTGGCCCTGGCCCTGGCCCTGGCCCTGGCCCTGGCCCTGGCCCTGGCCCTGGCCCTGGCCCTGGCCCTGGCCCTAGCCCTAGCCCTAGCCCTGGCCCTAGCCCTAGCCCTAGCCCTAGCCCTAGCCCTAGCCCTAGCCCTAGCCCTAGCCCTAGCCCTAGCCCTAGCCCTAGCCCTAGCCCTAGCCCTAGCCCTAGCCCTAGCCCTAGCCCTAGCCCTAGCCCTAGCCCTAGCCCTAGCCCTAGCCCTAGCCCTAGCCCTAGCCCTAGCCCTAGCCCTAAACCCAACCCTAAACCTAACCCGGATATATCCTGGGGGTAATTTACGGGGGGGGGGGGGGTAGATAATGCCCTGTTCCCGTAGTAGACAATATATAGTATGGACTAGGTAGATAGAAGTAGGAAGTTGATAGTGTAAAATAAAGAACATTAAATCTTGAATTGGACTTGTGTGTGGTGATTTCACAAAATTATACTAGGCCGGGTTTCATCTTATTCAACCCCACCCTCACAATAATACCCAATCTAAGGCAAAAAAAGAAGGCTTATTAGCTTATTAATAAATTTTCATTTTTTCGGATAACGATAATGGTCATTGTTTCTACAACAAGTTATATACTAGCTTCGCTTAGGTTTACAAAAAAATTAATTAATGGCGATAGGCTGTTGTGTGGAGTGCGTACGGCCTAAGTTTAAACAGTTTGAGTTATTTAATGTCATGCAAACATTAGTGGAGCATTCGCAAACTTATCACTCGCAAGGTTATTAGAACTGTAAAGGCTTACTTAATAGTATAAATAAAAAAATATATTAAATTAACTTTTGCAATTAACTTTTACAATTTCAGTACAACACATAGCTTAATGTATTACGAAATAATTATTTTAACGAATGATATACTTTGTGATTTTTGTTTGTTTTGTTTTCTTTAAAAAGTATAAAAAGTATTTTAAAAATATTACTTCAAAAAGTTACCTGCCCTTTAAATAGACCAAATGACGTAGTCTTTGTTTACTTTTTCACAAATATTTATATAAGAAAATACGGCATCTGGACAAATCTAACCACCCTAAAGGTTTGTTTCGACGGGAATAAAGTCTTTTTCTTACCATCCAGGGTCGGTCTACGACCTCACAAAATATTAAAGGGATTTATTTATGTATATATCATATTAAGCGTATTTCATTCGGGCACCCGACCATTTTGATATATATATATATATATATATATATATATATATATATATATATATATATATATATATATATATATATATATAATGTTTCACGTTTACGAGAGTGGAGAGGGGACGGGAAAAGATTTAAAAAAAAAACTATTATTACTCAATAAATGCCGTACGCGCAATAGCCTTTCCTAAAATGACATTTCAAAAGATTTCACGCAAGAGTGGCGTTACGAAAAGTAGGTTAACATGCCATCCTACCTGAAATTTAAACTGGTTAAACCAGTTATCAAGGTATTAAAATCCGGGCTGGTATTTACATTTTATGATATGGGTGTTTGCTTCTTCCGGGTGAGAACCTAAAGTAAAGATTCCTCTTTACTTATACTAATCCACTAGGCAGATGAAGTATTAGGCATATGGGATAATGTGGTCAGCACTATGCCCAGTCGCATTTACTTTCTCTAACGTGAGTTAGGTGCCCATCAGAGCTGGTTGGACGAACCCTGATTCGAGCTTGAGACTTTCAGGTTAGCAGTCTGGCGATTTACAGCTAGGCCATGATCTAACTAAAAACACTTATTTTTAAACGCACGACAATGTTTTCTTGACGTTTGAATGTTGGGAAGGAGGGGGGGGGGTATTTTTATTAACATACTTGCGACACCGTCCCACGCGCTACCGCATTACTTTAAGAAGATTACATCTATGCATTACCTAATGTGTAATTTTAGACGCGTGACCATGTTTTCTAAAACTGTTAAATTAGAATGTAAAGAAAGCAGTCGCTATATTTCTTGGATCTGAATTGTGATGGCGTTGTTTGCCCACGTTACCGCCCAGACGCTTTATTTAGTGCTGTAAGAAATTCTTGAGTCACCCTCCGTATTAGAGATGTAGATACTGTGACGTGGCCTAGAAGTTCATAACGAAAGCGTGTAGGCACGGAGATATTGTTTGTGAGAGTGGCCTCCCCTTAGAAGTGTGTCACATGTAGTGTGTAAGCAGTGTGGTGTATCGTCAACTAAGGGTAGCATGTACTCAGTTTTCTTCGTGTCAATGTTCACTGTTTCTCTGTAGTAGTTTGAAAATTATATTTTACTGTTACAATTTCACTGTGTGGATTCTGTTTTGATTTGTGTTATACCTGGTTCCTAAATTAAATTGAAAGCTGAGTGTAACAATACCCTAGCGGGTCAGGGGCAAAGCCGGCGCTCTGAAGAGCCACCGGTTACACTACCTTAGTAAAAAGCTTTAGTTGCTCAAGAAATCTATTACACATTTTAGCGACTAAATCTTCAATTAAATAACCGGGAGTGATCTTATATAACACTACGGGGGATGGCTACTCGGGATATAGACGTTATTTTTAATTACTTACACTTTATAAAATAGAACGAGCCGGCCCGCGGCATAACATACGCCGCTATTTAGTTGTTTTTTCTACTTTTCAGTAATTCATAATTTGTGAATTCGACGGTAACAACGCTGCCACTGAAAATATTTCTTTAAAACACTATAAGTAGCACGTTAAGGACCATACCCCCCCCTACGTTTAAAATCGTATCAAACTAAATTATTTGCCCCTAATAGTCGTCACTAAACCCGGTTCTGCTTGTAAACATTTAGAGTGAACAGCTCACTAAGACCATGTTGGGGTGGGGGTGGTAGGGAGCGCGTTTACAGCTTGTTTTCTAGCGTCTCACAGAAGAGAATTATATATATAGATAGAATCTTCCAGTTAACAGTTAACAGAAACTCGCATAGTTTCTTCCAGGTATCTCTTCGGGGGGGGGGGGGGGGGGCGAAAATTCTACCGCCCCCCCCCCCCCCCCCCCCCCCCCGAACGAAATGAAATTTATATAATTTATATAGAAAATATATTCTTTTAACAGTGTCCGCCCCCCGAAGAAAGTCTACCGCCCTCCCCCCCCCCCCCCCTTCCCCGAAAATTTCAAGTGCCCCCCCCCCCCCCCCGGAGAAAAAAGTCTGGAAGAAACACTGATTACTCGAAATTCGAAAGAAGGCAGAAAAGTAGATCTTTTACTTATTATATGTGAAATTTAATGTATCTATCTGAAACAGTAAGCAAGTTATAGGCCTTTGAAAATTTTCAAGTAGAATAAGTTTTACTTCCGTTTAAGGGAAATCGCTGAAAATTTGATACAAAACTACAAATTTGATATAATACTTATATATGAAATTTCTTAATCTAGCTTTAAAGGTACTCCAGTTATTGTGTTTACAGACACACATACACAAACACAGACATGCGGACACAATTGCAAAAAAATATTATTTTCCGGGAGGTGTAAAACGTCGAGATTTGTAAAAATATCGATTTTTTTTTTGCACGATTAAAATACTTTCTATATAGGCCTACTTCTAATACGATAAAGTAATAAAGTGGGAGTGATCTCCCCTAAACTTTCTCGAATATTCTTACATGAAACAACAGGGGATGGCAACTCGGGAAATAGACATGATTTTTAATCCATTTGAAATACTTAATTTTTTAAAAATAGAATAAAATCTCGTAGAAAAAAGAATTGCACAACAAGTGAACGCCAAATAAAATGTGCCTTATAGTGCGGAATATTATTAGTACTTTATAAAGTGACATTCTTTTTTGAGAAATCGGAAATAGCGTAAATTAGTACTTCCGGTCAACAGAAATTACTCAAAATTCGATAGAAGGTAGAGAATTAGATCTTTCACTTACATGTGAAATTTCATTTATCTATCTAAATTAGTACTCAAGTTATAGGCTTTTGAACAAAGTACAAAAAGTACCACTTCCAGTTATCGGAAATCGCTCAAAAGTTGATATCTATAATACTTATACTTGAAATTTCATCAACCATCAAGGTAGTCAAGTTATCCTGTTTACAGACACACACTTACACACTCCCACACACATACACACACACACAGACATACGGACAAGTTTGCAAAACTGTGTTTTTTGTTTATTTTCTTATTTTCATTGCATTAAAAAGCTTGTTATGATGCATGTTTTTATATTTGTTTTATACTTATAATATGTGTGGTCTGTACTATTGCTAAGTAGGATGGCGCAAAATTATAAGGTCAATTGTTGTACTCCACATGATTATAATGAACATGAATAAGAAACCGAAAATATTCGTGTGATTATACTTACCAAACAAGCAAAGTAATGTTGAAACCCAAAAGAAAGCAATTGGTCCCATTCCTAGAACTCAGTGTTTGGAGCTTTTTACTTCCAGCTGTTTTCAGTTAATAGGTATTGGGAGTACAGAATACGATCTTACCCTGCTCTACGAGCATAAAGGTGAAGCCTTTTATTTAAAAGAAAAACGTGTGTCGTGCGCAAAACACTATTTCTTTGAAATAGCCATGCGCACTACTTGACGCGCAGGTTGTCAAGGCGTGTTCACTTAGCGACGTTTTCTATTGGCTGTGCTGGTTTCCACTGAAACGACCGTCTCGCTTTACACAGCACTATTGCATTTTTTTTCAACAGATCAATATCCCCTTGGTGCCGATACATGATCGATATTTGAAATGACTATCACATGTGCACCAGCTACTCAATTAATTGGGTGGTTGATAGCTGCAATGCAATATTTTGGTGTTAGAAAAATCATTCAGATTGATTATTTGAGTTTGAGCTAACTTTATAGAAAAACAAATCACTTCTCTTGTTGGCTGTCTAACGAATAAAATTTGTTTCCATGTATAAACACAAGCTATACTGAATAAAGATGGCGGAAGCAGACTCAAGAACTGCAAATAAAGAGAGATTGCCAAGCCGAGTCCGATGAAGAGGTGTAGTTGCAGCCCTTTGCAACAGAGAGAACAATGTTTTTATATGTATGATATTGTGGTAATATACAACGGTAACGTAGGAGAGAATCCAATCAATTTAATTTAATGTTCGAGTCTTATTTTATATGGGCTACATAATGTAGAATCTTAAATTACCAGGTATTTGTATATTAAATTGTGCGCAAGGAAGAAAATAAATGTATATCATATAGAAAATTACATAGTGTAAGCATTTTTAGTTTTATTTAAATTTGAACAAATTACGTCGTCTTCAATATTACTTATGGAGGTCTTAGTAGATCAAAATTGATGGAGGGTTGAGGTAGCTGATATATTAGTGGTAAAGCTAGATGATTGTTAATGAAAAAAAGTAAACTACTATGTTCTTGCTCACAAATGGTTAGTACAATTCCCATAAAACAAAACTAAAAGCAGCGACTGAAATTACTCATTTTTGTTAAACTCGTGAACCTGTTTTATAAGAATCGATATCACCAAGACTCCAATTAAAAATACATTTTGTTTACATTGGATACCAGTTTAAACAACACTCAGTCCCTATCAACAGTCTTATGGCTTGTGTAACGGCCTGTTATGTTTATTCCCCCCCCCCTCACCTAGCAACCGAGCTCAGCCATTAGGAAACACCAGCCAGGACACCTATTGATTTTCGACTAGGTTGCTTTATGGGAACAAAACATTTGTGCTTTTTTTTTTTACTAAAAAAATCTATTCCCAGCAATAATAGTATCGCAGCGTGTGGCAACAACACATAACTTAACAAATCTTCCAACAGAATATGTAAGACATTTATAAACTAGCTGCATTGTCATGCTATGCAGAGGACATGATTATAACACAAGCTGCATTCAGCCAGGCGTTGATGTAACTATCGAAGCGTGCACAAATGCACAAATGTAAAACAGTTACAGTCTGTTGCAGTTTATGATTATGTAAATATCTGCTGTTTAGCGAGATGAAACGTTAACATCTCCATATCACTAAAACATCACCAGCTAAACATTAGTAACCCCCCCCCCCCCCCACCCCACCCGTATCGTAGATTTGGTTGAGGAAGTTTGACCTTAATAAAAATCTAGATTTAACCATGGTTTTAAATATATACCGAACGCTAGACATAACCGCATGTTAACACTTAACCGTTTACAAAATAAACAGTCATAGAAATTTGTTGTATAATAAATCATCAAATGTAATCTATGTATGTTTTGTAACCAACCTATTTAGAGAAGAAAAAAACTTTATAACTTCTAGCTGAGCGATAGGCCTGCACTTGAAAATTAAAATAAAACCGATCTGACAAGGGATAAAGTTGAAAAATATCTTTCACATGGTATATTATGAATAACCGTTAATTAATCACATTAAAATGCTTTTTAAATATGTTTTAAACGTGCTAAAAAAATGTATTTTTCAATAAGCATTTATCTAGTATTTTAAAACTATTACTGCTATAAGCTGATATAATTTTATTAAAGGTTTCCACCCATGCTAACTGGCTTTTTGCATTTGATGTTTCAAAAGCTCTTTGAATTTCCTGAATTACAAAGAAAATGCGAATTAAAAATTAAATTAGTGTTATTGAGAAAGAAATGGCTCGCACCAGAAGATGTGTTTTGTATGCAGACCGTATTTGTCTTCCACACTTTTTTAGCAACAATGTTAACAGCAACAATCGATTTCTGTACAGACAAACATTTTCTGCAAGCCTAGCCTCCACCCACACTCTCCCTCACCCACGTAACAAAAAAAAAAAAAAACCATTAAACTTCCGTAAATCCAATTAATGTTCGTAAACGGAACCTTCGCCCATAACCCAAATTACGTTGCGTATTTATTTTTTCCGTTTTTCTCTTTCTTTTCTGTGATCTGACTCATCGACCTTTAACCAATATATTGTCCATACAACGAACTAACACCACTAAAAGTTGGTAGAGATTTGTTACAAATCTATATTTACAGTCAACGGAATGTTCGTCTATCGAATCGAAATCAAGCTTGTTCGTAATACAAAGCCATAGTCTGTGTGATAAAAGCAGTCCGCGAAGTTAACATAACCCAGACATAAAATGCTAGGATACGGACCTGCTTGAGCGGTGAACCGAATACTTGAGCGTTTCTGTACTTAAAAATTCCCTTACTTTACGAGCTTCCTTGTTTGCGTTATCAAAACGACAAAGGTAGATGGTGTGTTTACACGAGTGTACGATGTGTAGGTTAAATCATAAAATATTGTTCGTCAAATCTACATTTGGGTCGTCCATCGACGGGCTCCCGGTTAATTATCCCCTAGACATAAACCCACTGGACATGACTCCCCGTCTTAAACCTCAGGACGAAAACATCTGCGATAAACACACACATACACATACACATACACATACACACACACAAATATATATATATATATATATATATATATATATATATATATATATATATATATATATATATATATATATATATATATATATATATATATGTATGTATATATGCAATTTTGAATTTAATATAATGTGTACACATTTGTACTAACCGAACATCCATCAACAACGTTGCCCTTCCATGAGGAAGGACATGTTTAGTATTTCATGATGATATAACATGTATGCTCAGAAAGCGTGACGACCCAATTTTTACATTTTAAAATGTAATACTACGCCCTGAATTCTTGTTTTTATTTCACCGAGTTTTTTTTTTAAATTTGTAACCTGTAAAACTAGTTTCGCTACTCTGTCTGTCTTTCTGTCTGTCTAACAAGAACGTTTCAGAGACAACATACGGACATTTAAAACTTGTTGCACAGTTAAGGACAGTAACGTCACATGGAAGATATAGGAATATTTTCAAAACGAAACACAACAGTTTTAAAACCGGAAAAGTACCCACACTAACATGACGCTGTTTATTATAGAGTTAACATCGGTTTTTAATTAATTTTTAAATTTCTTATTAAATTTCAGGTTGAGGTGGTGATTTTGGTTTTGATTTCGATTTAGAAAATAAAACAACATTATCAACCTAGCGCCCGTTGTATTTCTACCCCAACGGGCCATTTATCTAGTATATAGATATTAATATACTCAATGTCGACAGAGCTAAGTAAAAATTTCAGACCGAAATCAATGTTTTAAAAAGCAAAAACGGCACTTTTCAGTGGCTGTTAAGTCAAAATGTAACAACATTCAAGAGCGGTGGAGGACGCAAATGTGGGGTATTTATAAGTACAATAATTTAAGACTAATACAAGTTTTGTAATTATTTGAATAAAAAAAATAAAGTTATATACATGCAAGATAACTTGAGGTGAAATGGTTTTTAAATATTACTAGAAAAAATGTCTAGCAATAGTTTTAAATAATGCGCAAACGCCTTTCTGTGTGCGCGGATATCACGGTTGGATAACGTTGTTTAGTGTGTGATCGTGCAGTTATAGAAAACCTGTGGGCTTGCTATAACCTGTCTGCACCTGCCGTGTTGCTAGCATTGAAAGGAAGGGAGGTGGGACAAAGGGGAGGATAGGGTGGGCGGTGGTGGAGGGGGAGAAGGGAGAATGGGGTGGGAGGGGGTAGAGGACTAGACCGAGATTGAGTAGGATTAGGTTCTATTACAAAAGCATGTTGTTGGAGTGCAAAAAAAAACAACTGTTGATTGATCGAAAATGTTATTTTTTTATGGTTATTTAGTATAGCGTTGTTTTGAAACACACACACACACACAAACACACGCAAGCATACACACACGCACGCACACACATGCAGACTTATATTTATAAACTATTGATTTATCTACTAAAAAAAAACCATACGCAAACACAAATACAAACGCAAAAGAAAATACAAACGCAAACGATCGCAAGCTCAAACAATGCACGACATTTTTTGCTGTTTACTTTTATGTATCTAGATTCTATAGCGATGACGGACTGGCACACTACATGGCTGCTTATATTAAATACGAGAAAAATGGCCCGTTGAGGAAGGATACAACGGGCGCTAGGCTGATAGTGCTGTCTCTTTTCTCTGAACTAAAACCAACCCACCCCCCACACCCCACCCCCACCCCTACCCCCACCCCCCCACACCACCCCCCACACCACCCCACCACACCACGCCCCCACCCCCCCCCCCCCCACCACACCATCCCCACCCCCACACCCCCACACCCCAAAAAACATGTCTACCGTCCAATTCAACGAAATATAATTATATACTTTTTCCAGTGTCCACCCCCTCCCCGAAAATTCTACCCCCGCCCCCGAAAATTTCAAGTACCCCCACCCCTCTCCGGGGAGGAAAAAGTCTGAAAGAAACACTGGTGTCGCGCTTAGCCACTACCCGAAGAATTGCATTAAAGAAATTTCGAGAAAACCACTTTTTAGATTAGACACATTAATTAGGCGGTAATTTTATTATAGAGTATCGATGAGGAAATTTCTTTTGAGTTGGGGAGGGGGGGGGGGGTGGGCTCA